TTTGTTTTTTTTTTTTTGTTGTTTTGGTAACGGGCTTCTTCACGTGTCCAAGCCACTTCCCTCCATATCGCTATCTATCTCAATCACCCATATCTATCTCATACGCGTTCTTGCAGAGAGAGAGACGAAGGGACAAGAGAGAAGGTAAATGAAGCCACGTGACTCGGACACGGAAGCGCAACAGCTTGCCGCGCTCAAGCCAGGTGGGTTACTGCACTACGACTATCGAACTGCGCCCGCAAAAAGGGCGAAGCTCCCAGAGGAATTTCGCGTTGTGCAGTGGAATATTGAGCGAGGCGTCCAGTTTGACCGCATCGTGGAAACACTCCGCGCTGTGCGTGCCGATATCCTCCTGCTCCAGGAGGTCGATATTAATTGTCGTCGATCCGGCTACCGGAACGTGGCCCGCGACCTCGCCGAGGCGCTGCAGATGCAGCTGTACTTTGTCTGCGAATTCGAAGAGCTTGACGCGGTGGATCGGGCGCCGGAGCACGCCGTTAGCTCCCTCTCACCTCCCGCCGTCAACACTGCCGAAACCCATCCTTCCTTTTCTGCTTTGTCGTCTCCGCCTGCATTGCAGCAGCAGTGTCATTTTCACGGCAATGCCATTCTCTCGGCGCGTGCAACACTCAGCGACCCGTTCGTGTTTCCGCACTCGGCCGGCATTGACTGGGAGAAGGAGGGATGGAAGTTGCACGAGCCGCGCCACGGCTTCCGCAGCGTTCTGCGTTGCCGTATCGCCCCTGACCAGCGCACGAGCACATTGCTGCCTGATGTGTTCTTGTACTGCTGTCATTTTGAAGTGTTCTGTGGGGCTCTCTCACGCGTGCGGCAGCTGCTTGATGTGTTTCGTGACGCCAGCCGTTTGCTTCAGCCGGAGGAGAGGCAGAAGCTCCGTGACCCTCATCACCACCACCACCAGCAGCAGCAGCAGCAGAAGCAGAAGCAGCAGCAGCAGCGGAACCAACCGGCCTTTATTATTGGCGGTGACTTGAATACAATGGCAGACGGCGTTGTGCGCCTGTCACGCCGCTTCGGGGGCGATCGGCTGCGGATTCTCGGTGTTGGTGAGAAGGAGGCGTGCTGGCTGCAGCGCAAGGTGCTCTCGCGTCGCATGGACCACGTGACGCGTGGCTGCTGTCCGTTTTCGTACCGTTATCCCCTGTACGCCGCGGGGATCCTGCACGACCGTCTGTGGAACAGCGACTGCGCGCTCCGTCTGGTCTACGGCTTCTCGCGGGAAGAAGTTGCTGCGCTGGACAACCGCCGGCTCTGCTTCTACGACCCCGGCGACAAGGCGCTGTCGACCACGCTCGATCATCCCGACTATCACGGCTTTGTTCGCGGGAAGCTCGACTGGCTGCTGCTGAGCAACTTGCGTGTTGCGCCACCGGATCTCGCAGAGGAGGCTCTTGCGGCGTTGCTCGCTGGCGGCTCCATCGCGGCGGAAACCGCGTCGTGTGTGCGGCAACTTCAACAGCCACAACAACAGCAGAACCACGGGCAGCGGCGGGCGCTGCCGCGGGATGGATATGTGTTGTTTAATGAAAAGTTTGACGCATCAGACCACAGAGGATTGCTGCTGCATGTGCGGCAGCACGTTGGACTGCCACAGGAGGTGTACCCGGAGTACGGCGCTACCTACACCACCTCGTGGGTGAATATCGGGTTCTTTACACTCACGCGGACGTTACCGTGGGCTTTCGCCGCGTGGCTGTTGTACAAAAGACGGCAGCGGCAGGTGTAATAGAGCTTATATGTAACTGAATGGAGTGACTGGCTGTTTGTCTTGGGGGGGCCGAGGGTGAAACGGTTAGCAACTGTGCTCCCATCTACGTTTGCTGTCCTCCACGGTTTAAAAACATATTGACATAAGGCGAGGGTAGACCTTCCTTTTACCTTTTTTATAGCGAGCTCATAAGAACTTTTGTGGCTTCTCTATGCCCTTCGACTTATGCTGCTGCTGCTGCTGAATCTTCTGGCATCCGACTGGGTTTCTTCCTTCGCTGCTGTGCTCTCGCGTAGAACGAGGGGTGGGTGGAAAAGGTGGTGCGGGGCGCTCGTTTTGTTTTCTCGTGCCTGCACACACGTGCGAAGAGGGAATTTATCACACACACACACACAGATGCCGCGTCTACCTGTGTGGTTTGGAGGAGCGGCGCTCGTTGGTGGCGGCTACTACGCCTTCTACCACCGTCTTTACCTCCCACGCCACACTACACGACGCGAGATGGAGGTGGCCATTGAGGCAGAGAAGTTAGAGTTGCAATCAGTTATGCAGCGTTACGCGCTGTTGTGCCACACAGCACAGACGCTGCCGCATGGCAAGTGCATCACCAACCGTGAACGGCTCTCGCTCTACTGTGAGTTGCAGCGATTGCGTGAGGCGTTCTACGGTCTGCCACGGCGTGCGCAGCCGGTGGCAGACAGGCAGAAGCTGCTGCGCCACCTCGATGAGATGGAGGCGGCGCAATGCACTGCACTTAACTTCCGAGATGAGGCCTTGACGCTGTGGCAGTCGCTCACCTGCCAGTTGTGCTTCACACTCTATGTGCTGTGCTTTTGCGTCGTGGACCCGGTGATGCGACGGCTGCGCTTTGGTAGCGTGGAGCGGCTGCGGCGCCACGGACTGCACGCCGTCTCAGTGTGGATCATGCATTGTCTACAGATTCCCACATCCATGACCTTCGAGAAGGCACTGCCCACACGCAGCGGCGGCAGTACCGGTGATAACGATGACGATGATCCGTTCTACGTGGTGTTCAGCCCGCAACATTGGATTGAGGTGGTGGGCTTCTGGTCGTGCCCGACAAATCCGCTGCTGCACGACCCGCGCGTCCAGCTACTCCTCGCCCCTGACGGTTGCAGGGCCCTGCCGTTCGAAGTGCTCTGGCAGGGTGTGCAGCAGGAAATGCGCGGCAGTTCTGCGGTTGTCGAAACAAGTAACGACAGCAGCAAGGCACCCACACACGACACAGGGGTGGCAGAGGTGAAGCCGATTGTGCAGTCAACGTTTGGCTACCCTCTTGCCCTGCGCGTGGCTGACGGAGGGGAGGAGGTGGCTGCTGCTCCTCCCCGGCTGCTTCCTGTCGTCTCTGCCGGCCTGCCCCGTGTGCTCTTCGTGAGTGACGCGGTGGCGCGCTCAGACGTGCAGATGCGGCGTACACAGCAGGAGGCGTACGAGCAAGTGCGGCAGCGGCAATACAACTCCCGCCCCGGTGCAGCAACAGGAGGACGGCGTTTCGGTAGAAGTGATGAAAATAATGCTGCTGCTGCTGCTGCTGCTACCACCGCCGCTGGGTCTGTGACGGAGTGCGGTATGATATGTGAACCGCAGCTGCGTGCATGGCGGAAGCACGGTGGTGTGCCGCTGTGGCACCGCGTAACTTGGGGCGCAACGTACGGTGGTGTGGGGCGTGAAGGTAACCGCGACCGGCGTGAATTGGCATTCCGCGTGGGTCGCCTCTGCCACGCGAGAGAGTTGATAGCTGAGGAGATAAAGCTGCAGCAGCAGCAGCTTATGCTGACGATGGCGGAAGGTGAGGAAGCGGGACTGTTGTCTCTGGGGTGAGAAAACATGATAAACAAGAGCTTTCAAGGTTTGCCACTGCTTTTTTTTGGGGGGGGGGTGCTTTGGTTGTTATCGCTCGTGTTGGTGGTGGGAAGAGATGCTATTCAGTTCGTGTGGTGTATGTCTTCGTGTTGTTGTTGTTTTTTTCCCCCTTTTCTCTGTGTGTGTGTGTGTCTGCTCCTGTGTTTCTCCGTGTGTGCTTAGGGTGGGTGTGATGCTTCGTTTGTGCCTGCAGCGCACGAGAGCCGCCCCTTGCCGGTCAGCCGTCGCCGCTGCCATCTGCACGCCCTCGCGATACAGAAGCGTGAATGAAGGCGAGAGCAGCACTGGCATCAACCACGGTGGGCGCCCCGCTGCGTCGTCGTCATCGTCGTCGTCGCCCGATGAAATGCCGCTGCGACGTGGACATGTCGATAGGGGGAGCGCTACTATCTACCCGAGGGTGCTTGTGGCGCTCAAGGAAAGACAGAAGGAGCAACAAATTGAGGAGCAGGAGAAAGATGGTGACACACTGTCCGCTACAAATGGCAGTTCGGCTGCGGCGGTCGACGAATTCCATCCAGAGGGAGTTGCCGACGCCAAGCAGAACGCGGTGCAGGCGTTTCTGGAGGCGAAGAAGCGGGAGGTGCAACTGGCGCAGCTGGAGCGCAACCTCGACATTCCTTACCCGACACACCCAGACGACATGGTGCCGGAGTTCCGCCGAATAAAGCGGCACCAGTCGCAGGTGGTTGTGGCAGCAGACCCGGACTATCCTGTATTTGAGCGGCGCGACCAGTTCGTGCAGCTGCCGCCGCCAGCAATGCACCCGTGGGTGAAGAACACACCGGTGGGACCCTTCATTCTGCACGGCGACGGCCAGCTTGGCGTGGCGGGGACTGGTGAGGTTGGCTTCGACAGCACACATGCGACAGAGGCGCTGCCGCAGCACTTTCGGGGCCTGCGACACCGCTCAGTGCTGCAGCAGCGCCTGCCGCAGAAGAATGGCAAGGTGCTACATGATGCTGTGGTGAAGAACAGCTTCGCCCTTACTGGCCGCGGCGTCTTTGCAACGAAGGACATTGCGGCGGGGGAGACCATCATGATTGTGCAGAGCACCGCGTGCAGTCTCGGTGTGCGGAGCGAGGTGGAGCGGCTGGTGGATATGTGCAGCGATGTGCTGTTGGCCGTGTACGAGGGCGCCACCGAGGACCTGGAGTTCCTGCACGACTGGGTGCTCACTGGTCAGCCGTCGTCGCTGCTGGAGTACTGGCCGACATCCGCCACGCAGCAGGTGCTGGAGCGCATTGGAGGGGTCGACGTGTTGCACGCACTAGAGCTGCACGAGGTCCACATTGCGCGTCTCGCTGCCATTATGGACATGAATAGTCTCCTGGTGGAGTCCTCCTACGCGGTGCGGAAGGGCATGGCGTATTTTCCAGAAGCAGGTTTCTTGAATCACAGCTGCACACCCAACGCGACATACGACGTGATTCCAGAGCATACCTTTCGTGACACGGACTACTACATTGATGAGGTAGGAGAAATGGCGGCGGTGGCGGAAACAACAGAAGAACAAGGAAGTGTAGGAGAGAAACACACCACTGCAGGAGCCTCACCCCCTCCTACGAAGCAATCGGGTATCCGCCATGTGAGCCACTTTGGCAGCAGTGGCATCCGCTATGCTGATGGCACAAACGCTGCTGCCGAGGGTGTGGGGTATCATGAACTCACCACTGAGGGTCCTGGAAAGTACTTGTTCTGCTGCCGCGCCACCGCTACAATCCCTGCGGGCACGGAGATACTCATCAGCTACGTGCCGCCAGATTGGTCGTTTGACAATCGTCAGTATGTCTTGCATGATCGCTATCGTTTCTGGTGCAAGTGCCCCAAGTGTGCCCCCACACTGGACTCAAAGTACGCCCGAGTGCCCCGTCTGATTGTATTTATGCTACTGCTCAGCGTTTTTCTTCAGCTGCTCGTGGTGCACCAGCGTGATATGGAGCAGACGGCCGTGCGGAATCGTGCCTCCGCCGCTGACGAGGAGGAGCATGCGACAGAGGGTGGTGCGTCGGATGCCGGTGCTGGCGTCACGATGAAGCAGCGTCAGAAGAAACGCTCGCACGGTCTGTTTGAGATACTGGAGGAAAGTCGGCTGCAGGAATTGTACTCGCCCGACAGAGGGCCGCTGCCTGCGCCGGTTTACAGCGACCCGTGGGCGCAACCTCCGCGTTAGCCGAGTAGTGTGTGTGTGTGTACGTTTGATGGGTTGGCAAGAGCGGCGATAACATGTGGTTTATCGAATGGATGGAGTCAAACGGGGCGTCGCCCTTGTTTGTGTGTCCCTTTCGCGTGGTCTACCTTGTTTCGCCATTCCTGCTGCTTGCACCTTCACTTCCACTCCCCTTCTCCCACTGCGCCTGTGTGTAGCAGAGTGGAACCGCAGGATAACAACGTGCCGACGTGTTGCCGCGCAGATGAGTGGGACCGCTCCCGCGGTGTCGTGGCGGCTTAAGGTGATCAACGGCTGCGACGGCAACGGCGACCTCCTCCTCCCCCTCGTGCCGCAACCATCGCTGCTGCAGCACTTCTACGCGCAATGGCGCGACGAGGACGAGGATCGCCACAAGGCGGCAGAGCGCCTCGGGGCGGAGCGCGCCGCGGAGGAGAGGCGGAGCCGCGGCGGCAAGAAGAAAAAGAAGGCAGCCACAGCAGCAAGTCGAAGTCGCATCACCGCCCGCGACTGGCTGAAGAAAATCCCGCACGTGGTGCTGGGGCGGCACACATGCCTGCCGCGGCACTGCCGCCTGCGCCACGTCTGCGTGAGTCGCCTGCATTGCCGCATTGCGTACGTTGGCGACGCCGCAACGCACAGGCTCATCGTCTCGCGGTACCCATCTGCCAGACGTGCGGCAGGGGGGGGCGTCCGCAGCGATGCAAGGAGTGAAGGAAGCAGTAGGGATAATGATGGTGAGGACGATGCAGGTGCCTTTCCTGGGCCGCACTACCGTCTGCTGAACTGCGGCGCCAACCCGCTGTATGTGAACGACGAGGCGCTGCCGTGCGGGGAGAGCCGCTGCTTGCGCGAGCACGACGTCGTGGCCTTCCTGGAGAACCCCTTTGACGAAGAGGGCGGTGTGCTGCAGCCGCTAGGCACGGAGGACGCCGTAAAGTGTGACGGCCCTTCAGTAAATGGGGAAGACAAGCAGGAAACCGTAGAGGCGAAGGAAGAAGATGAGTGGCTCGTCACCGAATCCACAGTGCGTGCTCTGTTTGACAGCACGAGCAAAGGGGACAACACATCAACAGCAGCAGGAGCGGACCCGAAAGGTGCGTGTCAACTCCCGGCGTTTGTGGAGGTGAACGGTGTGCGCATTGCCCGGTATCGCCCGCTGCGGATTCCATCAGCTATTCAGCATCAGTTTGCAACAAGCGCAACAACAGCAACAGCAAGGACGTCACTCCATGGTGGGACTCCGCTGAAGCGTGCGCCCTCCCTCGCCGTCGAGCACAACCGTCTTGTGGGAAGCCCAACGAAGGATGATGGGAAGGTTATTGAGTCGAGGCATGACGGTGTGCTGAACCAAAACTTTTGCTTCACACCACCGCCCAAACTCCTTTCTCCGCAAGCGAGGAAAGCGCGGCAGCCTGAGCGGCAACTGAAAAATGAGGAAAATGACCATGATGACGGCGTAGATATCATCGAGGACGTTGTCTCCCCGCTGCAACAGCGATTGGTGTCCTCCCCGGGGCGTTGTAATGGTGCTCCTGCGTCCCCTGAGGCGAAGGCACATCTTGCCCCTGGGCGCAGCGGCACAACGTGCGAGGAGCCGCTGCCTGTTACAGTTCTGCCACCGCGGCTGCCGGTGTACGTCTTCGCCCGCCGCAGCCCAAGCCCGGTAGGCTTCACGCACCAGGCCCCCTCTATTGGCCGCTACCAGTCACTGCAGCCGCAGCTGCGCCATCGTCATGTCGAGAAGTCAACAGTGGTAGTGATGAAAAAAGGGGGAATGACGGAATGGGTGGAGGAGGATACGGCAGTAGACGCAGCGATGGCAGTGGGGCAGCAAGTACGACGCAAACGCGGCAGACCGCCACGCAGTAAAAAGGCGTGAGGTGATCGGCGGCAGTACACCCCGAGGAAGCAGCAGCAGCAGCAGCGGCGGCGGCGGCTAGAGTGAGAAAACCTTATCCCTCTCCCTCTCTCTCTCTCTCTCTCACGCACCCCCACATGCTCTCTTGATGTGGACATCTGTTCACATATGCGGAATGGCGTGGGCAAGTATGAAGGCGGTTGCAATTGAAGGCGACCCGACGCCCTCGCTGTGTGGCAGCTCCCCGACCACATTTCTCTTCGTCGCCTCCTCTTCCACACCCCCACCACTCCGTTGGCAAAGGATCAACTCTATTTCAGTCAAGCAAAGGAATCAAAGAAAAGGAAGGCAAGAGGGTGCCGGCACCTTATTTTTGTGTTCGCTATTTTCACTGCGTGCTCCCACTGCCACCACCACCACCAATAATAACATAACAGAAAGAAAGGAAATGCCACCAAAGCGTGTTGCCCACGCGCAGGCTCTGCGTGAATCCTTCACGGAGGCCAACAGCTGCGCAGTTGTGGAGCGCTGGGCCACTGAGACGATTGGCCACGCGCTGCAAGTCGCGCAGGAGGCCGCCAAGCACCGCGGGGAGGCGCAGGCCGCCACGTACACCAGCAGCAATGCGCAGAAGACACCGCAGCAGGTGGTGGACGTGCTGCAAAGGTATCAGTCGCTCTGCCACTGCGTGTTCACTGACGCGGAGCAGGTGCGCACCGTCATCGCAGTGCGCATTCCCGAGCTGAAGGAAGAGGATAACTTGGGCGTCGCCGTGCAGAATGCGGTGCTCAAAATGATTGATGAGATCGAGAGCAAGGCAACAGGTGGAAGCGGCGGCGAGAAGAGTGGCGGAGTTGCAGCACCAGCAGGCATGTATTCCCTCCGTGAGTACCTCACCACCCGTGGCGGCGTTGAGGAGAAGATTATTGGCAAGCCCGACGAGAAGACTGGCGGCAGCAGTGCCGGCAGCAAGAGCCCGTCGGTGCTTCTGGAGCTGCGGCAGGTGGACGCAGACGCGCTAATGAAGGTGGAGCTCGCCGCGATGCAACTTGCAACGGTGCTGCGCTCTTTCGTCAACGCGTATGCGCTCAACTGGAAGAAGCTGATTGAGCCACGCTCTATCAGTTCCCACATGGTGAGCTGAGCAACACCCCATGTGGGTGAAAGGGAAATGGCGACGGAGTGACGGTGTGGACACACACACACACACAGAGAGAGAGAGAGAGAGACGTGGGGTGCGAAGTGCGGACACGGTAGGATGCGGTTCGGCTCTACGTAGCAACCGAGAAAAGTGTGGGATGGGAATATATATATATATATATATAGGAAAGAATACTGTGAGAGAAGATGAGGGTGGGGACACTGACGCGTGCTTTCCCTCCGCATTTGTTTTTCCTTGGTTGGTTTCTTTGTGTCTGTGGGGCGTGTGTCTGTGTTTCGCTTTCTGTCTGCCTATGGGCCTCTCATGGGATGGCTTCCCGCAGCCGTCCCCCACCTCACCCCACCCCCGTAGGTTGTTTGTGTGCTTTTGTTTTGGTTTTGCTCTTCGTCTTTCGGCTGTTGGTGTGTGGGGTGCAAACACCCTCCACAAAGCGCCCACCATCGCCACACGCACGTTAAGCGGAGATGCGGTGCAGAGGGGGCTTGCATGTCGCTGCGCGTGTGAAGAGGGGTGGGGAGGGGGAGGGGGG